CTGGCCTGTAGAGATCCTATTGATACCTATTGATAGGATGAGGTTTCCACTATGTAACAATCACTGGGGATAAATCAGTGAGCCAAATAGGGAAAGTCCATTGCGGCAGTCTGGTCACAGAGCTCAAAAATAAACAAACATCACGTTTTCTTTGAAAGAGAGACACTAAGAAGTAAAAAAACAAAAAAACAAAAAAAAAACCCATCACTAAGAATAACACGTAGGGCCAGACATGGTGGCTCACACCTATAACCCCAGCACTTTGGGAGGCCAAGGCAGGCAGATTGCCTCAAGACAAGTCTGGCCAATATGGTGAAACTCCGTCTCTACCAAAAATACAAAAGTTAGCCAGGCGTGGTGACAGGCACCTGTAGTCCCAGCTACTTGGGAGGCTGAGGTAGGAGAATGGCTTGAACCCGGGAGGCGGAGGTTGCAGTGAGCTGAGATCACAGCACTGCACTCTAGCCTGGGTGACAGAGCAAGACTCTGTCTCAAAAATAAAATAAAATAAAATAAAATAAAAGATGGGCTTGCTAAATAAGATGGTCAGGAGCCTCTCAGCACCAGCTTTTGAGTGAGCCAAATCAATCTGCCTGTGAATCATTAATATTTTTACTGTTATGCCATCTAACAATTTAAAGTGTTCTTTGTACATCTTTGAAACTTGGTGTTAGGTAAAAAAGGTCAGAGTGTTAAAGCCAACACCAAAATAGAAAATAATATGTAAAGGATACATGAAAAAAGAGAGAAAGAGGAGGAAATAGAAAGAGAATACTTATTTGCTTTACATAGGTTGTTACATTTAATGTACATGGCATCTCAACTCTCAAAAAAGTAGATGTAATTTGTTAAATGACTCAACTAACTTATGTTTTCAGAGCATTTATTATGAAGGGAAATAATGTGTGACTGTGTAGGAGGTTGATTTTTAAATCGAAGCTTCTTGACCACCATCCAGTATGCCTATACATACATAACTCCACCAGGAAAATCTGGTCATACTGTTATGAAGTGACACATTGTGTAAATAAGCAAAAACAACAGGTGTTACACATCTGTTCTTTCACCAATCTTTAGAATCTATCTTTAGTGAAGCTATAGTAGGGTCTGTAAACTATTAGAGAAAACTAGCTGAAGAGCCAAGCCTATAGAATAAAAAATTCAAGCCAATAATCAGGCAAAATATCCCTAAGAGTTTAGGACTAGGTCTGGCATTATTTCACAGTTTTATCAGTGGCTGGAGTAATGAAATTGAAGTAAACGTGCAGATGTCTTTTGCAATTTAGGCAAAGTTTCTGCCCTCATTATATTCTACAGAAACCTCATGACCTACACATTTTAATTACAGGCATCATCATTAACTTAGGAACTCAAGTTAAAAATTTCAAAATCATCTTCAATTTATTTACCCCCTCCCTATATCAAGTCTCTGTCAAAGTCTATCAAATCTACTTGTAAATGTCTTTTGAATCCATACCAACTTTTCATCCTCACTGAAACTGCCTTAGTTCACATTTTTACCATTCCTAATCTGGAAAACTGCAATAGACTCCCAAATGGGTTCCTTTCCTCTATCTTGTTTCCTTTATTTTCACCTCCTAACTTCTCAAGAATTCTATTTCTAAAACAAAGATCTAGTCACTCAACTGCCCTGCTCAAAGTTTTCTGGTGGCTCTTCATTGCCCACTCCAAAGTGAGGCACGCAAGGCTCTTTTACAGTGGGGTCTTAACTCATCTGTCCAACCACCTGTCTGGCTACCTCTTTCCAAACACTCTTCGCCATCAAATTATAAACAATTCACAGGTTTCTGCACATGCTTTTTTGGCTGCTGGAAAGTCCTTCCAATCCTTTCCAATCTGGAAAACACTTACTCTGCCTTCAATGTGTAGCTCAAATGCCATGTCCTCTGTGAAGTCTGTGAGAATCATACCAGGAAGAGTTCACTACTCACTGTCCTGTGATCCAACAGAGCTCAATACCCACTTATGCTTCTGCACACTTTATACTGCACTGCTGTAACTCCTTTGTATTCTGTCTCTTCCCTATATTGCACATCTTGGAGGAAACAGATTGCATTTTATTTATCTGTGCCTTCTTTAAACTTGACATTTAGTAGGTATTCATGTGATCAATCTGTAGAATGATACAGTCTAAGGCAATACATTTGGACTAAAAATAAACAAATGAAAGGTTGGGAACCATTAAGTGATATAGACAGGTATGGGCTTAACATCTGCAGAATGATGTGCATGAATAAAAGAATGATGGAGAAATAGAGTACAAATTACTAAAAGAAAGCTCAGTGAACATAATTTCAGTTACTTAGTGGGACAAAAAAATAGTACTATTGAAGTTGCTCTCTGCCTCCACAGAAAGCATACTCCCTAGTTCCCAGTGTTTGTACTATGAAATATGTCCAACTCTATCACGTTTCCTCAGTTTTGTTATTTTTTCTTTTATTTCCAAACTAGTGTCTAAATCCAGAAGGTTTCAAACCTGGGATTTTCTTTGAGCACACTTAACCTATTCTCTCCCTTCTCATCAACTTGTCTGTTTTACCCACTCACTTCTCTGAACTATGATTTGTTTCCATCAACTTTTCCAGGACCATTCTCAATTTCAACCATCACAACTGACCTAATTTTTTCTTTCTTTTTTTTTTTTTTTTTTTTTTTTTTGAGACGGGAGTCTTGCTCTGTGGCCTAGACTGGAGTGCATTGGCGCAATCTCAGCTCACTGCAAGCTCCGCCTCCTGGGTTCACGCCATTCTCCTGCCTCAACCTCCCGAGTAGCTGGGACTACAGGCACCCACCACCACACCCGGCTAATTTTTTGTATTTTTAGTAGAGATGGGGTTTCACTGTGTTAGCCAGGATGGTCTCGATCTCCTGACCTTGTGATCCACCCGCCTCGGCCTCCCAAAGTGCTGGGATTACAGGCGTGAGCCACCACGCCCGGCCCCCATTTTTTTCTGATTACAATTCTCTTGCTCTGTTGTTTTCCACATATATAATATCTTAAGTTAATATATAATATATGGACATATTTTCAAATTCATAAATTTTTCCTTTTTTTTTTCAATTTGAAGGGCTCTACTAGTTTTCTGATCGAATAATCTTATGACTTCACAATTACTTTTGATTTCTCTTAAAGAGAGGTCAGAAATCCTTTGCACTTCATAACGTATGCATAGATAACAGAGGCCTAATAATCCATTCTGCATTCATCATCTTTCTATCAAACTGAATATGCAACTTGCTCACCTGATTATTTTATTATTGGCTTACAAAATAACACCCTAAAAAGTCCGTTGCTTCTTAGCCTCTCCTTTCCAATCTCTCCTTGGCAGGTGCTATCTGCTCTACCTATCTCAGATTTCACCCCTGCTTGGATTCTCTGTCTTACCAGGCACATGACTGTTTGCTCCCACCTCTAAGCCTTCACGCATGCAATTCCTTCTGGCTGGAATGCCCTCCCTGCTGGATCTCTTCTGCTAAGCAAGTTACTCTCTGCCTGTTTAAAATGTACATCCTCAGTGTGGCCTGCCTCAGATGACTCAACTCTGGTCCTATTCATTCTGAGTTTTTGTTTTTGCTTTTTTTCCCAGCATCTTTTCAGGGTTATATATTAGCATCTCTATAGCCCTGCTTCCTTGCATTTCCGTTTATTTTTCATTCTTCACTTGAATTTTCATTTGTGATGCCACTTAGTCACACTACCATGGTTTCTAACTTCATATCTTCTTCCGCCTCTAGAACCATTGACTCTGTGTACCCACATTGGCATTTCTGCCTGCTGGAGAAAATAAACGAAAATTGCAGCAAGAGAGATTAAACTGGAGGACCAGAAAGTAGATGGAAATTTTCCATTTTTGGAAAATACCATCAGCTCCCATCTGTTTTGGATGGTTTTCTAGGATGAGAATGATTCAGATATAGAGATGATGTCCCAATTGTGATAATAATCACATTTGGGTTTCTTTCACCTTTTTGCTCTTTCTTGGACCTGTCCATTTCAGTTTCAGGTTCACTTTCTTGCTCTTTTGCCACGCTGTCTCTCTCTTTTCCCAGGAAACTCCACTTAGGTCCCTTACCACTTAGAGAGCTCAGGTAGGCCAAAACATAATGGAAGCACCTGCCAGTTACTTTCTCCATTTTCTATCCCCTAGAGAGAGCATAAACTTTCTACCTCTGGGGGTCACCCTCCTCTTTTTCATCCTGAAGAGATATTCCTACACAAAAACCCTGTCAGCCCTCCACAGGAAGGGGCATTTATGCATGTTTTCCACCACTGGAATACCTACATATCTTAGCTTTGCAGGCCCATGTCAAAGATCTCTCTACTTACAGAGGGTCCTGCAAGTTTCCCACCAGTCAACAACAAGGAGCTGCTAAGACAACACATACGAGCAGGGGCTTTTTTCTTTCTTTCTTTCCCTTTAGTCTCCTAAAGAATTATCGTGGTGTTTGATTTGGGCAGAGGGGGAGGCGTCGGTGTTCTCTCTTTTTTTTGGAGGGGGTAGGTGGTTGAAAATAGGTATTGGAGTGCTTTTGTTTCACCTCCTCCATTAACAGGCAGATGTAAATTCCCCTAGAGCAGAGCGATTATCCTCACATCTTAATCCTCCTCAGACTTATCCAAGCATAAGATTGGACTGAGTCGTCTTGGAATTAAGGGTTGAGGGAGGTGGCACAATTGACTTCCCTTACCCTTCCATCTCCCACTCTCAAGCCGTGGCTCATGATCATTCCCTTGCCTCTATTTCCGGATTGTTCTATTGAAACTACTCATTATTAGCATTCTGGGCCCTCCTCATTTTGCTCTGCAGCCCACTGTCCCCTGAGGCTGACAAGGCACGCTGGTCCCCTCTGCCTCTTCACCTTCTCACCAAATGAAGCTCCTCTGGGGCTCCTAGGTCACCCGCCTGTCCCCCAGCTCCTCTGCCCACCCTTTTTCCGGCTTCCCGCTCCCTCGGTAACCTCTAAGGGGGTTCGCTTACGCGCCCGCCTGCTCTCGGGGAGCTAGCGTGCCCGACGGCGTGCTTGGTTCCGGGCCAACAAACTTCCTCGCGACCCTGCAGCGCCTTAGCTGGGCCGCCCAGAACCGCCTCCTTGCTCCCGGCCGCGGTGGCGGCGGCGCGGGCGCGCTCTCGGTGGTGGCCGCGGGACTCTGACAGCGGAGGCGGCGGAGGCTGGGGCCGCGTCTTCCTCCCGCGGCGACTGGGACGTTCCCGCGGCGGCGACGGCGGCAGTGGCTGCAGGGAGGACGGCGGGGACGGCGGCGGCGCTCTGGCCGGCCGCGCTGCGCATGCTGCAGGGTAATTAAGGAACCCGGCCGAACGCTCCGGGACGTGGCGGTGCTGGAATCCCGGAATCCCCGCCCGCGCCCGCGCCGCTCCCCAGAAGCCGCACTTGGGAGAAATACCCGCATGTGGAGTAGGTAACCCCGGGCCCGAGGGCAGCGCAGCGGAACCCCGCGTGTCTTAGCTTACGCCCCTTAACTGGCTCCCTCGCTTCCAGGGCTAACACCGTCAAAAAAAAAAAAAAAAAAAAAAAAAAAAAAAAATTCCCCCCAAACGGCGTGAATTGATAGTGAGTTTGTTTTGCCCCTTTAACCCCTCATTTTTTTTTTTAATGTATTTGATGTCTGTCCCTACCCGCATCAGCAGTGCTCATAGTTCCGCTTCACAGACACACATAGCCAGAAAAACCACCTAGAACTTAAGTGTAGTGCATGAAGCCTGCATCATGTGAACATAGGAACACGAACTACATGATATGTAGCACAGCAGAGTGGCCGTCTCCTGCCAAACGTTTTTGGTCCCGTCCTTAAAGCACCTATGGGAACGTATGCAGGTGTGCATTATGTATCCACCTAAACGTATTTCCATGTGTAGCACAGTTTTTATATTTTCTTGAAAAGCAGATGCACACAGATAACCAGAAACACGAGCAGATGACATAGCCCGGGCAGGTGTGAGAGGGCAAGTGCAGGGCCGGTCGCAAAGCCGCGCAGCTTACCTTGAATTCGTGTTTGAGCCCCTCAGAGGCGCAGTGGAGTCCGGACAGGGCTGCGGCACCGCCGAGGAGTGAGCTCCCTGCGAGTGGGGAAGGGGGACGCATCTCTGCCCTTATTAGTCTCTCCCAGTGTGACCCTCCCACTCCGCGAGGACAGAGGACTCTGCAAGAAGGTACTCAGCCAACTCAGGCACAGGTTTTCTTTAATGACAGCAATGTCGCCTTAGAGCTGGGAGTAATGCCTTTCAGGTTTATGCTTTACTAGCAGTTTCACAGATAAAATGACGGTTGGATGCAGATGCCTAGAATTTCTCACTTCTGATCATGAAGTGTCTTCAAAGTATTATTGTGTGTGGCAAACGTTCACAAGTAGGTAATTGGCTTTTTAACGATTGAGCTAAGATATCATTTATGTTTCATTTTTTCACTTTTATGTCCATAAGAGTTTATATAAAGTTAATTAAGGCAGTCTGCCCACCTTCTCATCACGCTCATATGTAAACGTTTGTGTGGCTTGGTTTTTCTCAGTGTCCAAGAAGTATTTTGTGATTTTAAATACATCTTTCCATGTATTGGTGCTTCCAATCTTGGCTTCTGAACTCTTTGGGGATCCCTTTGAATATGTGAAGGTGTCATTTTCCTACAGATTTCTGTGTAGGTGCATGTATGTGTGTGTAGAGAGAGAGAATATGTATATGTTTGTAGGCATATGTAGTAGGTTTATATACATATATAGGAGGTATATATGGATATTTGTAGGCATATTTATTTGTAGTTATATATATATGTGTATATATAATTTATACATGTATATATATATAAATTTACTATATATGTATATATACCTATATATGTGTATATATAGTGTATGGATATATAGTAAATTTATATATGTATACGTATAGTGTATGCATATGTATGTGTATATATGAAAAAAAGAATGATTTATAGAATTCAGAAGAGTAAACCAGGCATTGGAACACAGATAAACTGGTTTAACATTTTTATTTCAGTATTGTCGCAGTGGGAGAAATAGGATAAATTATATTGTTGATCCACAATGGTGAAAATCATGAAGCTTCAAAGTTACCTTAGAACTATAGAAATACATGTCACATATCAGGGCTCACAGATCAGGGAATAAATAAAATCAGGCAGGCAAAAAATAAAGTTGTTAAGAAAAAATTTAAAAGATAGCTCTTTTCCACTTCATTTGGAGTGAAACCATTAAAGTATCACTCGTGATTTTTAAACTTGTCTTTCATCCTAATCAGAATACCTGCAGTTGTAGAGTTCGGCATTCATAGTATTGCAAACCATGTTTCTATGTCAGGATTTAAAACCATCTGATACATTTCCTTCTCATATGATTTTCATCACTAATTTTTGGCTGACTGTGGAAAGAGGCCAAGGAGGGAAGATATTGCATGAGTCACACTCCTCAAATGGCCATTTGCAAAACATGATTCACAAACCTTCATTAGACTTTTGGTGATCATACTCTATTTTTCTGAAGTATTCTCCGATTTGACTTTTTTCTTTCTCTAAGCAATTTTACTTTATATACCTTTCCATCACTAGTGAATTGAACTAAGAGTATCCAGGCTTTATTTCTTTGTCAGACTATTAAATTCACCTTATTTACACTTAATTGAAACTATTTAATGTTTTAAAACTACCTAACAGGAAGTCCACAATTTTGTCTCTAATTTTTGTTTTAATACAAGTAAATCAAGTTTATCTTAGAATTATTTTCTTAAACGTTTTAATAATTTCATAATTGTTAACATATTTATGAGAGAGCTAAATAGTTCTATTCTTGTTTCTATTTCAAAATGGCCCTTTTCTTATTCCTAACATTGACCCAAACAAGATTGTGGAAGAAAGCGAAAAATGAATAAATAAAACTTCAAATTATTATTATCTGTTGCTTATTCTGTTTTTAGATACACCAACATCCCCGGGTCAACAAATATTTCTCTATTTTTCTTTCAGGAAAGGGTTTGAATCTAGGTTGGTTTCATGATTACAAAGTATTGTATACCTAGGGTTTGCTTCTTTAGCTAATTCTTTTTACTGAATTTTAAAGTGACTTCAATTAGAAAGAACCCTTAGCCAAACACTTTGTATTTATCTAAGCCAAATACAATTGTAAATGATCAGGTTTTCTTCTTGCTTCTGAAGTTACTGCTGGTAAACGAACATCTGAAAATATTAGGCGAATCTGACAGGACCCTAAGTTTTAACAAACAGCTTGCAGCCCTTCTAACATCAAGTTCATCTGTGTATGTGTATGTACTTAAAAATTTTAACAGGTTTAAAAACAAACTTCTTTCAACATTTATGCCTAAAGGAAGATACACTTAAATGTTTTTATGTCATGTGAGGGATAAATTCCTTTGAAAACATTAAAAAAAATACTTGCATCTTTGTAATGCCCCACTGATATAAATTTAACAATTTACAATGATCATTGTACCATTTCTGATAATTTTAATTTAATAAATTTTTTAAATGTGTTTCTCCTAACCCTTAGTTGTCAATCTCTTCTGCTTTGTGTCTTTTTCTTTTTTCTTTTTTTCTTTACTTCTGTACTCCCAGTCATGTTGCTCTTGTTCCCTTTTGTAATGTCTTTCACTTTTCTCCGCCTTCATAGTTTCCATTTTTCAGGAAGAAAGAATTTCACCATTGCCCCCAGCTAACTTCTCAGTTACCAAACCATAAGAGTGTTCATTCTTTATTGAATTTATGGGGCACAGCTATACATGACTCCCTTACATATCCCATGGAAATACTTCAATGCATCAATAGTGGATGAACAGACGTTACTGTTAACTGTAATTACCAAATCTGACTTGTCATCCCTAGCATGCACTTCCCATTATATTCCTTTTTAGGCCAGCACTACATATGATATTCTTAAGGGTAAAAAGAAAGTAGTTATATCAATTCTAAATTCTTAGTAATTGCCAAAAGTAAATGAGGGCATCTTTTTATATTAAATGCTGTGTTCACCATTGTTTCTGAAAATAATTCTCTTCATAGAGAAAATAATATTCCATTGGTTGTTTTTAGGTTTGCTTCCCTTCCTAGAAGACATTCTAGCTCATGACATTTACTCAGTTTAGAAATAAAAGGAAGAGGCGATCATAGATGTGACTTTCACTTAGTTTATTAGACTCTCTTCCTAGGGATCAGTGACTCTGAAAGGAAATATGGTAAGAGACAAATGACTGGGGAAAATGTTTATTAATATACATCCAGTTCTGAAAAATCATTTGAGAGACAGAATGAAAGAGAGAGAAAGAAATACTCCAATAGAAAACTAGGCCAAAAAGCAAAGAGGCAATTTACAAAGGAAATAGAAAAGGTCAATACATTTATGAAAAATATTCAATTTAGTATGCAAAGAAATGCACATTTATAAAGGAACTATTTTCCCCTGCCCATTCTGCCAAGATTAATATTGCTGATTAGACGTGGTGTTAGTATAAGCGAAGAGCATTCTCAACAATTCCAGGAACATATAATAGTTCAGTGTTTCTAAAGGGCAAATTAGCCATGTTTATTAAAAGCGTTTAAAAAATGTACATAGATTGCATCATAAACTACCCTATAACAGTGACTGTGGTTACTTATAGGTTGGGATTTTGAGAATTTTGATTTTTTCTTTTTGTTTATATGTAATGTGTAAAGTTTCTACAGCGAACATGTGCTACTGTTGTAATAAAAATATAACAAACATGAAAAAATGTGGTGTTTTATATCCAAGAAATTAATAAAGCAGTGGTATTAAGAGAGCCAAGAAATTGGCCTTTTAAATAAGATTTTCAATCATTTTCAGCACAAATTTTCCAGGTAAAAATTAGTATGTAATTTAAGCCGTTTAAACTGAGTCTAGTGATTTCACTAGGAAGCAGATGTTAATTACACTGTTCATTCGTTCAACATATATTTTTGAACTCTTCTTAAACTGACCACTGCAGAGTATACAAAGATACATTGAACATAGGCCCACTGCCTGGAGTTTAACATTCAGGAAAAAAAAAAGAAGAAGAAGACATGTATAAATACATGATAATAATAAGATGTGAACATGCAAAAATGCAATAAACAAAGCAGATATAAAGTTCTAACTGAATTCTAAGGTGGAGGGACTATGTTCAAATGTGGAAGCATCAGAGTCAAAAAATTTCAGTGGACAAAATCCATCCATTTTTTTGTTAGTCCAAATAAATATACTTACAAATAATGATAGAATCATAGTACGGGGAAGGGCATTGTAACTAAATAATTATGAAATTATGGATTTACTGTTTCTTTAATAAATGTTTGTTGGAAGACTCCACAGACAACAAGCCCACTTCTTATTCAGATGAAGAACATGAGATTTCTTATTTCCTGCTGAATTAAAACCTTTTGCCGAATTCAGAGTCCTAAACAGTGTCACCCAATCTACTCTTATCAGTTCCCTTA